TATCGGCCACTACCACTGCAAATCCGCTTCTCTCCTCTGAGCCTTCTGATCGCTGCCGCAATACTTGAGGAAGTCTGATCTGGGATGGTGATCCACACCACGCTATATGTCATGAGGCAGACCACAGACAGATAGAGAAGACCCGATCCCAACGTAATGGCATCCACCGACACAGCATAAAAGGGCTCCTTACCTGCTCTCAATAGATTCTCTGGTGAAAGATCCGAGATACCCGCCCCTGAGAGCCCCGGCGATATTCTCCACTCCCGCTTGGCGTTCTTGAGCTGACAAGTAACACATACTGCAAGCTCATCATTCGCAAGTCGCTTCAATGACGGTGCGAAGAAACCAAACTCTATCGCTCTCTCTACACTGGCATTCCGGCTCGCATGCCGCAGCTTCCTGTGAGCACTACGAATGAGTAATCGCCTGAAACCCATCCTCATCTTTGGTACATAATACGTCCAACTGGTAGCCCCATCTGCGCCATTAATCAGATAGCGTGCTATGCCATCCTCATCAATCCTTATGCATACCAATGATCGGAGTGCCTTGGCATCCATTCCATCTGCCCATCCCAGCTGCAACGATCGCGAAAAAGATATCTTGTCTTCTTCCTGATATGCCACTGGATACTGCACATCTGAGAGTGGATACCCCGCAATCGCTCTTCTCCACAAGATGAAGGAGAAACGTAGGGCTTTCCATACTTGGAGAGCCGCATCGACATCGTACGATACCAACGCCAACTCATCCGCAAGACTCGGACATTCCCCTCCTCTCCGACCGTGCGATGATGTTTCCTCCGGAACATAACACAATCGGTCGTCAGAGCTGGGTAGTTCTCCTAGTCTGCCCACAATATCACCCACTGCCTGCGCCACACTGAGAGGCTCATCTAGATACTCCTGTAGAGCTCTTCCTATCTGAACGCCATTAGCACATTTCCTCTCTAGTAGACGAGACAACGCATCGGCTCTAGTATTTCGACAGCCTTGGAGATGTTCGATCTCAACAACCACGTCACAATTATTTCTTATGAAACTGATTTCCTATTTTATTGCATCAGCGAGCCTAACGATCGATCTCAATTCCAGTGCCTTGCAAGGGGGATTCTCATTGCACCAGCGGATCGAAGCGAAATTATCACCTTTGATTGAGAGCTTACACGTGCCTTGTGTGCCGAGTCTATGGTGTGAGCCTCTCCAATATCCCAGAAATCTCGCTGTTCGACTCACCCCTTCGAACATCGCTCTCAACTCTCGCCTATTCGAGTGCCACACTGCTTCTCTATTGGCCCACCTCCCTGCGGATGCCAAAATCTCAAAACAACTTCCCTTACCATCCGAAAGGTACTCGAAGATTCCCTCCTGTCTGGTCGCCCAAAGGCTGAACCCCCACCCTAATAATGATGAGTCGGTCTCCAGAACCAAAAACATATTCTCTTCTCCCCCCTGGAGAGATGATATATGCATACAGCTTAGGGAAGGCTCTTTTTCTGCCACCCATTTTCTAGCCTCTTCGAAAACCATTCGAACTCCCTCGCTCATGTCCTGCAATGTGAATTCCCTATCCCACGGTAGGCTACTAAAACTCTTCCCCACTATGGCCCGCAATACATCCCCTATAAGCCTGAGTGTTGGATGCCCCTGGACACTATCATGAGCCAACGCTCCCGCACACGCAAATGTACCACTTTTTGTCCAAGTGGAGGATTTCAGAAACTCTCTTACTGTCGACCACCTCTGCGACAGTTTGCAGTCAATCAGCATCCTTTCATCTTCCAGACAGATCCCCACCCCTAATAAAGTGCCCTCTGCACTCAAAGGAATAGAGATGCTATATCTCTCGCAATACTGTCGGAACTTTTCCCCATTTCCTGGCCTGACTACCGCCCACAACTTGTCACACTGTGCCACGAATCCCAGGTACCTCAGAATCGTAAACAGAAGGGAAAACGCCCTGACGATCCCCTCCACTCCTCCGCCTTGAATGACAATGTCATCCATGTAGAAGAGAATGAACAAGAATACAAATCTTTGGCCCCATGAAAGTTCCTTCATCAACTCCAACATCGTCGCAACTATCTCCCTCACTGCCCCCTGGAGACAACCAGCTCCGAAATGCAGCCCGAAGGCCACTCTATCCGACACAAACTCCCCTATCGCGGTGGCAAGCAACACCCAGTGCGCTAAGAGCCTGCATCTATAATATGCCTTTTGGAGATCTGCAACAATCATATCTTCACCGTTGAGTCGCACCGCAATGAGTATATCCGACGTTGCCCGTCGTGACGATGATACTCCTCCCAAACTCGCATTGACTCCTCTACAATCCAAGACCAGTCGTGGTTTCTCTTCTAGCTGTGTGAGAAAGATGGGAGATGCTGGCAGGCATTCCCTCTCTTGAGAGTGCTCTTCGCCTTTCAGCTCCGATCTCCTTATCCACCACCCTCTCGCCACAAACTCTTGAACCAGATCCTGGTACACCCGTTGATGAGTCTCTGAGAGTTTATTGTACGCAGCCCTCTCATATCTGGGTACACGAAGTTCTCTCATCGCCTTATCGTCTCTCTTCGGGAGATCTATATACACCGCCGCTTCCTGCCCTTCGCAGTCTGCCCGGCTGTCTCCCCTCAACTTCCTGAAAGACACTCTGTATTCTCGAAGGCCCTCAACCTCCAGGTCCCCTTTTCCCACAAGCGTCGACACAGCAACTGTGGCGACTTCCCGTTCTTGTGGTGGAAGCACTGGAAAAATAATCTTTCCCTCTCCCTGAGGTGATGGTTGAGTTCCTACTCCTTGTCCTTTTCCCGGAGTATCAAGATATCTTATCACATTGTCCTGCACGTACCTCACCACATCAATGGCATCTGCTGCACAATCATCTACCAATTTTTCTCCATCCATGCTGATAGTTCTCTTCGATCGAGACACCGTTCCGGTTGCTAGGTCCAACTGCAATCCAACTCTGCTGCCAATATCCCTGCCTATTAGCAGACCGATCTCATCCTCTACCTGCTCTGAGTACAACACTCGGACTATATGAGGTCCAGCAGTGATTGTCTCCCCTTCGAGCCACAAGGTAAGGTATACTTCGGCCTCCTGGGTGATAGCTGTGCGGCTCCCATCCGCCAGCTTAGCCCACTTCGCCACCTTAGTAGTTGGTATGCAATCGCGCCTCGCCTTTCGATCCTTCGGTAAGCATAAGTATGTGCGTCCCGCTCCTGGGTCTATCGTCCCTTTCACTCCCAAAATTCTATGCTTCGGATCTACTGCACTCACTATATCGGTTCTGACCTGTAACTCTACCGGAACCTCCAAGTAGATCAAGCACACTTTATCATCTAGCTCTTCCCTGACTACTTCTTCTACTACTATCTTTTCCTCCTCTTCTATCTTATCTAGAGCAGGAAAGCCTTTCCCTTGGCTACCTCCTATATCTAATGTGGAGCAAGATGAATCTAAGGCCGCAACGCGATCTCCACGAATCACATTCGGCCCTCCCCGTTTCCCTGGCTTTTGAAAACAAA